CTTTCAGAAAGCAGCAAAGAAAACCACATTTTCTGGATGACCACATCTACCATCATCCAGGACCAAATTTAGCACCAGCCAAGGTGTTCACATTTGAAATCCCATGTGCTGGAAACAAGGTTACCACAATAATGTCAAGTTCAAAGGCAGAATCCTTTTTTCAATAGGGGAGAAGATGGAAAGGAAGAGGAAGAGTAAGGAGGAGGAAGAGAAAAAAAGGAGAGAAAGGAGAGAAAAGAGAGAAAGGAGAGGAAGGAAGGAAGGAAGGAAGGAAGGAAGGAAGGAAGGAAGGAAGGAAGGAAGGAAGGAAGAGGGGGAGGGAGGGAGAGAGGGAGGGAGGGAGGGAAGGAAGGCAGGAAGGCAGGAAGGAAAAATCACCTCCACCATCAGAAAAGCGGTTCTCTCTAGTCAAAATAGCACAGTGCTCACCTGAAATAACCCACTGAGACACTATACATGGTTTCTTAATTTTCTACAGTGAATTCGGGTATTAATAAAAGAAATTTCGAGACCTCCGACAGCAAAGGCAGTCAGGGACGAGATGTTGCTTGTTTTTCTTCTAGCACTCAGAGAGAGTCCATCTTTGGAAAGCAATTTCTGCCGAGTTGAGGAACCAGAATTCTGGGATGCCCAGAAAAGACTGCTGGGTTCTTTAAATAAATTCTCAACACCTGTTTCTAGCTCCTTCTGCAGAAAAGGCCCATAGGGCTTGGGTTCTGATGAATTGGAGAGGCAGATAGAATGGGGTCACCCACTGGTTAGACCTGTAAGGGTCCAGAGGGCTGGCCTATTCTTTGGTGGTGTTTTTTTTTAATCACAGAGCAGCTGCTAGAAATCTCCCCTCACCCATGTCCCCCACCTCTTCTCGTCTTCCCCCTCCCACAGCCCTCACCTAATGCCAACCAGTCTCATGGGCATGGACCACGGCAAGCCCAAGCCCAGTCTGCTCATGCTCCCTGCCCTGGCAGTGATTCTATTACAGTAAAGTTTCCAAAGTTAGGATTCTGCCAAGAGGGCTGATAGCTTATTTACTGCTGTCATCTACAGAAAGAGGAATTTTGACACATTGTTAAATGATAGCACATTTAGATAAGTCAAGCTGTCAGAGGCTCTAATGGATGTCTAAACTCTCTGTGGCTGATATGTAAAATTTATGCACTTCAGAATATCATAAGGTTATAATATTTTAATCACATCCACGCTCTTTTCTAAACTTTGAGCAGGGAAAAACATTCCATCAAGACTCCTGTGCTCCAAGAAACTGAACCTTCCCAGAAGTTTCTCCAAACTCCTTACAAAAGTCCAGCCTACCTCACTATCCCTGTCGATCTTCCTCCCGAAATGCTCACCCCTTAAGCAGAATGTGCCTCTTCCTCTCAAACTCACACAATGTGATCCCTCTAGCCAACCTCTTTCCTCTCAAGAAACAGATATGCATTTGGACTGGACACCCTAATTTGGACTGGACGCTCTCAACTCTTGTTAGCTTGCTTAACCCCCTTCGAGGGGGAAAAAAAAGAGAGACTGGACCCAGAGCATCATGAAAAAAAGTGGCAAAGTAAAGCAGAAAAAGAAAGTCATAAAGGTATGAATCCAGTTACGACGATTATACACAGAAAAGCCATAAAAAAATACTGCATTAGTAATGTTCATCATAAAGCAATCTTATAACCAAATGAAATATGTCCAGCATTATCTTTGGGGTGGAATTTTATTTCTCCTCATTTCCTGGGCTGTTAGCAGTAGAGCAAAAAGAAGAAAAGGAAGAAGTGAAGCAGTTTCAGGGGTCCTGGAACAGGGTGCCACATTCAGAGGATCTTTACCATCATCAGCCCACAAGTCATTAGGACTGCTGACTGACTTCCATCCTAGGAAAATAGCCCTGTTGTGTGCAGAAATGGCACTGGGAGGAATAATAACTAGACTGCGTCCATATTTGAAAAATGTATACTTCTGGAGGGCTATACGCTGGGGCTAGTACAAGGTCACCTTTCTTCCCAGGATCCGGGTGGTGTCTGCAGCATGGTCTGGCCTGGGGACACTAGCTGCCTTTGCTGCCTCCGCCACTTGAACACTCAGCAACCAGGCTGCAAGAAACCACTCAACCTGAACCAAGAATTAAAGCCGAGCACCTCCTCACACTCACAGGCAGCTGGGCCGTGTGACGAGTGGGCCCAAAGCTTTCAGCCTGTGGAGAGCCTGGGATGGGGGCCCATCTCTCCTACCAGGAGCTCAGAACAAGCCAGTAGAAGTGTTCCCTTTCTGGTTATCTCCCCTATAAGAGGAAAAGTGGGGGGAGGGGGGGATGAAAATAAAAGTGTGGCGTAGGAGTCATTAGCATTATGCTCAAGAGATGATCCTAGGCAAAAGTGCTTAGGTTCATAATCTGTTTCCAACAAAAATGCCATTGGTGAGAATGGGGGTGGGGGTGGGGGGCGGCTGCAGGCCTGTTGGGCAAGGGAACAACGGAACATTTCAGGATGAGGGTAGGGACTATGGCAGATGTGAGGGCTAAATGTTTGCACATAACCACGGCTGCCACATTTATTTCTCTGCTCTCTAGAAGTGGACAGCCATTCAAACTCCCACAGGGGCCCCCTCCCCACTTAATATCCATGTAAATGAGCTTACCCCCTTTCCCTAGAGTCTTTTCCTTTTGTGCCAGACACACCAGCCATTGTCTTAATAAACACCCTCCACCATGTATACACCCTGTCAGAAGACAAGTCTTAGTCCCAGTTCCCCATCACCTAAACAAGACCCTGCCATCTTTATACTTTCCAGTTCAAATTTGCTTTTACACCTCAGCATCTTCTAAAACCCTAACAAAGGTTCCCAAATCAATGGGAGTCCAACTGCAATCAAGATTTGGGTGACCTCAACAGCTCCACAAAAGACCCCTAAGCCAGAGAAGGGAGAGAGTGAGGTTTAAATCCTCCCCCTGCAGAAGCTCAGAAATCAGCCCCTGAAAGCCGCTCCCACCCCTCTGCACCCAGCCCACCCTGCCCTCCCCACTGTGGGCTGAACTCCCCAGATTGAAAACGAGTTATCTAATGAAAATTGTGTTAACTGACATTCTGGCCAAACGGGAGCAAATACCAGCGCTGTAAATCTCCCCGCAGAAATTTTCTCCAGCCCAGAATAACAATAGGACCCTGCAAAGGGCTTTCGCCAGCCCTTCTGGTTCCTCTCCTCTTGTCTGCCACGTTCTTGTCATTCCTTATGTTATAGAACATCAATCATAAATAAAGATGCTGTCCCCCAGCCATGCTGGGGTCTCATTTACAAACATTAGCAGGGAATACGATTACCATTGGCCTTCGTGCCAAGCTCAATGTGGCTGCCCAACTCTCTCCTCTCTCTCCCTCCCTCTCTCTCTCTCCCATACACACACCCCACTCTTCCAGAGAGGCCACTTTAGCATCATTTAAACCAGCAAGCAGAGCTCACAGCCCTGCCCGCCTCAGCTGGCCACCAAACTGAGCCCTAACTCGAGTGAGGACCTGGAATTGCAAGGCACTTGCAGTTATTAACCGCATGCCTGAGTGCCCCGATTTTCTCTCCAGCTCAATGGCTTTGGGGGAGGGGGCAAGCGGGGAGAGGGGGCGGGTTAGGGAGGAAGGCTCAGAAGAGGCCAGGAGGAGGGGAGTACTGGAACCACTTATCAGAAGAAACTTAACAAGATTTGCCTGCGGATTTTTTTAAGTGGGTTCCTTTTTATCTCCAGACTGATGCTCTCGCTTTTTCCGAGAATGTCAAGGCCAAGGCAGGATGCTGTAAAAGCCCGGTTATCAGCACCATTACTCTGCCCCTTGTTCCCACTGTGTCTGCCGTGGCTTTGCGAGACTCCAGGGTTTGGGGGGGCTTATCCGGAGCGTCCTGGGGCACCCAGGAAAGAACCGAGGCTGAAGCTGGTGTTCTCTGAAATACTACCCCAAACCCCACCTTCTAAGGGTCAGCAAAGAACACTCCCAAATCTGGGGGAGACTCCCAGAGAAAGGTGGAGTGGGAATAAAGTGCTAGGATTTGGGAAGGAGTCACTAGGGAAGGGGGGGAGGAAGAGAAACTGGAAAGAGGAAAAAAGTGGGGAGAGGTGGGGAGGAAAGACAGGAGGCAAAAGACAGCGAGGGCATCTCCCATTTAAAAGTTCCCAAGGGCCTGAGAGGCGGGAGTCACCTGCTCTGCAGCGCTCCAGGCTCTCCACCGCCCCCGAGGCAGGAGCGCAAACTTGTGCACATCCTGGCCCCGTCTCCACCGCCTGTCCCCATCTAGACTTGGCAAGGGGGTTAGGGGTAAAGGCAAGAAGCAAAGAAGACGAACCCCGAGAACCCGGCCCGAAGAGAGATCTGCCGGCGCAGGCGGCCAGTCCGGCGATTGTGGCTGGGGCGGCTGGAGCAGCAGAAGCGGCCCCCGGGTGGCGGCGCGTCCAGGCTGCGCAGCCAGGCGGGCGGCGGCGGCGGAGGTGGTGACGGGTGGTGGGGCGCGGAGCCGCCGCCTCCTCGCCAACCCAGGCTGCCTCCTCCTCTCTCCGACTCCTCCCTGCCCGCCAGCTCCCTCCCTCCCTCACCCTAGCCCCAGCCCGGCGCGGACAGGCACGCGGCGCGCTCCGCGGCCTCCCCAGGCGCCGCGAAGTTGGGAGGCACGCAAAGTGCGGCGCGAAGGGGGCTGCCAGGGGTCCCGCCGGCAGCCCCCTGCCCAGGACCGCAGCCTTTGCTTTCCCTGTGCCTCACTCGGCCATTCGCCAGCCGGCTCGGTCCCCGGGCCGAGGGCTCACTAGCGCTTCTCCATGGTCGCGGCGGCTAATCGATGATTGAACCGAACAAAGAGCAGCGGCGAGATCAATTCCTAATACCTATCGATGGGCAGCGGGCAGCCGAGCCCAGGCGAGCCCCAGCAGCCGCCCCGGGGCGCCCGCCCGCCCTCCCGGGGACCTCCCCAATGCGCCCAGGGCGCGCCCGAGGGCTCCCCACGGCCGCGCGGCCGGCGCTGCCCGCACTAACCTGGAGTCGCCGTAGATCAAATCGCTTCCAATATTGAAACATCGATCCCACATTGGCGGCCATCTTGGGGGCTATTCGAGACGCACACACACAAGAGTTTGGCTTTTCTCAATGGCTGCACTCAATATCCGGGCTGGACTCCCCCCAGCCCCGGGGCCGCCGCCGGCCACTCGGGCTCTGCGCGCCACCGCCCGGGGCCCCTGCGACGCCCCCAGGCCTCTTGCCACCCGCTGCCCCTCGGCGCCGCCGCGCCGTCGCCGCCGCCGGCCCGGGAGCCGTGCGCCCCCCCGACCCCCGGAGGGCGCGGGCGGAGTGCGCCGGGCGGGGAACTCGGCGCCCGCCCGGGGGAGGCGGCCGGGGATGGAGTGGGAGGGAGGGGTGGGGGGAGGCAGCCTCTCCGAGAGGCGCCGGCGCCGCCGCTGCCCTGCCTGCAGCCGGCTCCCGGGCCCGCGAAGCGCTCGCTGCATCTCCCCCCCAAGTCCGGGGTCGGTGTGCCGCGCTATTGCACTTGACTTTGGCTTTTTGCAAACTTATCAATACTGACGTAACGTGCTGATCAATGCAAAGGGAAGTTTGGGAGGGGGGCTGTGAGAGGCCAGCGCGCGGGGCGTCTACTCTCCTTCCCGCACCTGTCTAACCCCCACCTCCTGCATTGCATACTCAAAAATAAAAAGTTAATAGTTTGCAATGCATTTTTTTTTTCTTTTGCAATCAGAGCACACACAACACGTGCCTCGGGCTGCCGTCGCTCCTCCGCCAGCTAAGCTAGTGATCCGAGGGTAGCAGCCCGAAGCTCTGACTGCGTAGACGCGCTGGCCGCGGGCTTGTAGGAGCAGACCAGTGGGCGGGTGGAAGCCGCCCGGGGGCGCCACTGAGCCGTGGGAAATGTCACCAGGCCGCACGCAGTTTCCACGCCATCATATATATAGTTATGATTATTATTGGGGGGCGGCTCCTTTGCCAGAGTTCAGGGTTCTTTGCAGGGCGGAGCCAGGGAGACACTCAGGTGATTTACAATAGGGATTCCGGTTATTTTGGGGAGTCTTTACCCCAATTATAAAGGCTCCTCACAACTTTAAAATGTGAGGTCCTTTTACTGTTATGATAATTAATGGAGGGGTTCTTAGACAAACCTCTGGAGTGCTTTTTCCCCCAGTAGATTGGCTTTTATTGTTATGAAGGGGCCCTAGCCCTGCTGTGGGGGCTCTGGATCCTTAATAACTATAGAGGTTTCTGCTATTGTTATTATCATAATTACTGGGATGAGGGGTCCTTCACCTAGCTGGGACCCCAAGTCCCTTGCAGTATAGAGATCCTTATTATGATTGTCTTTTGGTAGATAGTCTTTAACCCAGCTGGAGGGAGGTTCCTATCTTTTGCCGTTTTTTCAGATGCTGGACAAAGAGTTGACTAGGTTTTTTCTTTTACATTTTCCTCTCTTTTTCCCCTGTGCAAGCCAGAGGTCCCCAGTCCCCTCCCAGTATCCCCTTCCCACCCAGGAAGAATTCACACTCCCAACCTCCTCCATCACCAACGCACTTACCCCTAGGGACACTCTCCATCCCTTTCTGACATGTTACCTGCCAAATCCTACCCCACTTACCTCCCACCCAAAAAAGGGGGCATTTTCCTTCTTTTTCTCTGGTCGAAATATTTGCTTTTATAGACAGCAAATGGAAATTATACTCTCTTTTTATGACCCAGCTTGGACTTCTGACATCACTCTTAGTCTGGGACAATAGATCAATATAGAGGGTTATAAAAAAGATAAAGTTTAGAAGACTTGTAAAGGAAAGAGAATTGTGATGGATATTTTTGATGATTTTCCAATATTGTGTCTTGGAGCACGTGCTTCAAAGGCAATTAAAGTTTTTAATGTAATGTAAATAATTGTTTCATAAATACTTCAGAAGAAGGTGTGATCTTTCTGAGCAATCACTGGAACTGTTCAAAAAATGTAATGTGATTTAAACAAGGATACAGTATTTCTGTTACCATCCCCATACATTTTCCATGAGGTGTGGGTAAATATATTAATGCACAAGTTGAAAGACTCGTAAGAGCAAAAGTACAGCATTCTACAAGATGTAATGAATTAGGCCTAGTTAGCAATTCCGAGTGGCCTCTTTCCTTGCCAGATTAAATTGCACGTGATGTGTGGTTTATCTCAGCTCTTGATAACTTCACGTTTAAATTACAGCTCTCATTCTGCAAAATGAATTTAGGGAAATTTCATAACTCTCACATGGCAATTTTTTAAATGGCTACATTTTCTCCTGAGCATCTGTAAAGCTTGCAGCTTTCTTGTCTTTGAGTCTGTTTTTTAAAGACCTGTAACAGGATTGAGTGTGAAACCCTACAAAGCAATTTTTAAAAAACCAAGATTCTTATGGAAGATTATTTTAAGTATTTTCTGACTTTGAAATCATGGAAAACATTGACATTGTGAACTTCTTGATATGATGTACCAAGAAGGACACAATATCACTTCTGTAGTATTTTCTGACAAAAGTGCATAATCTGAATCTAATTATAAAGAAATATCAGGTAAACCCAAATGGAGGGGAAATTCTATAAAATAAACAGCCTGTTCTCTTTAAAAATGTCAATGTCACATGAAACAGAAAGACTGGAAAACTATTCCAGATTAAAGAAAGCAAAACAGACTTGACAAGTGATTAAAACGTATGATCCGGGATTTTCTTTTATGAAAAAGTGCACTAATTGGAGCCAATGACAAACTTAGAATAACATCAATAGATTAGATAATAGTATTGTATCAATGTTAATTTCCTGGTTTTGATCATTGTATTGTGGTTATATAACAAAGTATCCTAGTTTTTAAATAACCCAATGAAGTACTTAGGGGTAAAGGGATATAGGTGTCATGTCTACAACTAACTTTCAAACAATAATATGCATTTTTCTATATCTATCTATATAGAGAGAATGATATAGCAAATGTTGCAAAATATTAACATTTGAGGACTCTAGATGAAGTGTACATAGAAATTCTTTGTACTTTTCTTGCAACAGTTCTGGGAATATCAAATTATGTCAAAAGAAAAAATATAAATTAAATTTATGTCTGACTTTGTTTCAGCTGTTAGGGACTATTGGGCTCCTAAATAAAAATTATGCATGGAACTTTTCTACTTCCTAACTGACATAGGCTACACCTTTGACCAAGCAGGAAATTGCCACAGCAAACATGCTTACCGAGAAGCAGTGAAAAAATCCAATAATTCAGATTGTTTAAAGTCTGTGATATTTTTAAATGACTTAATGCAGTGGGTCTCTGAAGAATTCCGACAATTTTAATGGTAGAACTTGCAGTCCCACTGAGGAACGGGTTGCTACATAAATACTGAATGATCGTGTCTTTCTGTCTGGGCTGAAACATATTAGCTTTGCTTAGTGGCTTATTGCTTTATTCACAAAATAAATTTCAGCCGTCTCTCCCCACCACATTCCAAGAGCATCGTGAGCCTGTGCCTTATTAGATGTGGGGGCTAATATTCCAAAGGCATCTGTTACCATCTCAGGCTCAGCAATAATGAATTCAGCAGTTAAGTGTTTACCCCCTAAACAGAGTTAGCTGGGGAAATGATATTATTGTGGGTGGTCCTTAATGAAAGATGGTAAGCCAGGAAGCTCGGGCTTTTTCAGTAAACAATCAGCCTTGAATTTGGGAACCAAAGAAATAAAATATTAAACATTTTTGTGAAAAGCTGTTTTTCTCTCTCCCTGCCACAAATACACACACCTACATAGATATGCAAAAACTTAAGCAGTTTCCTGGTTGATTCTGGATTCATAAAGACCCATGTGTCGAGATGAATATTAAAAAATTACTATGAAAAACACAAAACCCCTCCCCAGGACACCAGGAGGAAGCAGAGGGTGGCTTCAGCAGCCTATCCTGAAAGCAGAAGCAGACAGAAAGCCAGATTCTTTAGGAAATTCATAAACTATGCAAGAATCCCAGGGAAGATAATGGCAGGTCCTTAGCCACGAACATAATGATATGCAAAATCCCCAGCATCAAAGCTGAAACAAAAGAAAATGTCCTTCCGTAGCTCTGCATTGCCCACCGCAGCTGCCAGACAGGGAGAAAGACAACTAGAGACTCCAAATTCATCAGGAAGTATTAAACAGCCCTAGAAGAAGAGCAAGGAATATGGGAGTGTCTGGCGGACACCTGCAGGGGTGTGTTCCTGGAGGCTAGCCCATGGTTAAGTCCCAGATCCATGGAGTGACTGGCTACAAGGACCAAGTCAGCAGTTCCTTATGTGCAAAACACCTGACACAGTGCTGTCGACCATTACCATTATTAAGCACCTACTGGCTGTTGGATGCTTTACAACTAAATCATTAGCTTGATATTGTAGTTAGAAGCATGACTCTGGAGTCAGACTGATCAGATGTAAATTCTAGTTCTGCCACTTATAAAGCCTCTGACCTCGCACAAGTTTTTTTGTTTTGTTTTTTACCTATCTATACCTTATTTTCCTCATATGTATAATGGTGATAATAATTGCACAAAGTGATGAGATTTAGCCCTGGCCAGTTTGGCTCAGCAATTAGAGCATCAGCCCGCGGACCAGAGAGTCCTGGGTTCGGTTACCGCTAGGGGCACATACCTTGGTTGCAGTTTGTCCCTGCCCCGGTTGGGGTCATATGGGTGGCAGCCAGTCAATGTGTCTCTTTCACATCAATGTTTCTCTCTCTCTCTCTCTTCCTTCCTCTCTCCCTCTTGCTCTGTGAATGCAAAAAGTATCCTCAGGTGAGGATAAAAAAATAAAAATAAAAATAAACAAAGTGATGAGATTTAAATGAGTTAATCTATGTAAAGCCCTATGTAAATGTACTGTATCTAGTAGCTATAATTATTATTGGCCACACAATGGACAAGACAGGGATGTGCATTCCCATATTACAGACGGAAAGACTGAGGCCCTAAGAGAGGAAGTGGCTGGTTCATGGTTGCATGGCTGTGAAGGAGCAGAACTGGGACTAATACCTGGGTTCACTCCCACCAAGAACGAGGCTCTTTGCACTTGAGCCTGCCCTGCCTCTAATGGGGGGGAAGATGTGTGGAAAAGCAGATGC